AAAATCTATATGCTGCTAATTGCTATTAGTAGATAGCGATATCTATATCCCGATTTACTGATGTAACGCGGTTATTTACATTTAAAATTCAATCCGCATGAAAATTGGCGAACGCGAATGAATGAACAAACAAGGTATAGTCGCGGAGCTAAACGCTCCATGTCGCAAGCATGGCGGGCAAATGGCGCCACATTAATCCTTATGTGAACGATACTTAACCGCGCGCGAACGAGAGACCCTCTATCACATGCACACGTGCGTGAGCTTCATCGGACCGTTGGATGGTAACCTAGTTTCGCGTGCGCTGAAACATTCAGCGACCCAGTTACCCCGCGGCGAGGATACCGCGCCGCGAATATACGGATCAACAAGCTTCCCGACCTATATAACGTCCCGGATCCGCGGGCTGCATTTCCGAGCGCGAAAGCGTGCGCTCCGACTCCGGTGGGATCGATCCGTTCGCGCGTTGCATCGAACGTCGCGCGGCGCGCCGTCGCCGTCCTCCGTTCTCCGTCTGTCCGTTCTCGTCCGTCCATTCGTCCGTCCGCCTGATGCGCTTGGAAAACTTTATCACGCGATTTTCCACACGAAAAATTGCGACCAGCGCGGAGTTGCTTCTCGGATTGCAAGCCCGCCAAACCGCGTACGAGAGTTGGACACGGAACGAAGTTCTTTTTTAGAGACCGTATTTTTTTTTAACGCGAATCTGACTCTGACGCGGATGCGAACCGCGCTCGTTGCTGGAGAACCGTTAACGATCCTCTGTCTACGTAACGTTACGCGAGCGTTGCTGGAAGTAAATCGACGGTTCGCGTTTCGATTCTATAGTCTGCGCCCGAGACAATCGTTCGGGGGGGAAAAAGGAGGAGAAAAATCGGCGGACGTGCGCTTAACGATCCATAAACCGGCCGGCCCATGTATATCTGTCGCTGCGTGTGCAACGCGTAACTCACGCGCTCGTCCTCCAACTGATCGCGTTGCGTAACGTTATGTCACGACGCTAATAGCACCGCGTGTACTCGCCGGCTATGCAGGCGTGTGTACCACTTTACGATTTCCACCAACGAGCTCGATTGACTTGTCAGAAGGTGCGATACGTATCGGCGCGGCAGCGGCGCATAGCGCGGCCGCATAGCGGATAGATACGCCGCCGTGCCATGAAGCCGTTCCCGCTAATGGCTTTATGGTCACCTCAGACTCTCTACTTGTGCAAAGATCGGACGTCAATATTCACTTGACTTGCAGATTTCATTTGCAAACGAATATCTCCTTCTTTTTTCTAGGACTCTATCCATATATTCATATAAAATTATGAAAATAAATTAGAAGAGCATATAAATACATAAAAGAGAACTTATAAGTTTTATAAATTTGTAAATATTATAACTATTCCTATAAACAAGAAATTATTAGCTGAACTTTATCAAAAGTTCCATCGTCAGGCTTGGTATTAAATAAAAAAAAAAAAGATTAGAAAAACGAAGTTCTCTTTGAAGAAGGGAGTATACCTAAACAAGTTCTCTCTAAATGAGGAAAAAAGTGTCGGTGATGACAATGTTGCTCTGATTTTGCTGAAATTTTGTTTTCAATTTTATTTAAAGTTTAACGAACCTTTTGCTTCGAATATCAAAATTATTTAAATAAATAGAATAAAAGCACACGAAAGAAATTAATCTCGCGAGTTTAATTACCGCGATGCGATTTAAAATCTGTTCGTGTTACGAAATTCTTGTCGAGCAAAAATAAGTTTTCGTTAGGAAATGTCGCGATGAATACCGCAAAGATGCCTATCATCGTATAAAACGGAACGTAAAGACCGGTTGCTCGCCAGTTGCCTAGTTAAGTTACGGACGCGAGTATACTCGGCAAATAGCGTTGCATTAACGCGACAATCAGAGTGAACGAAAGGCAGGGAAAGGCCCTCGGCCGAAACCTCAATTCTCACGGCCCAATTTTTTTTCTGCCATTTACGCACAATTCGCACGCGATATACTCGAAGGATCGGTCCCAGCCCACCTTGGGGCGTTTCGGCGGATTCGTAAATCCAAAATCCACTCAAGTGGCAAGTAAAAGGAACCGCGCCAATTTACTTTCCTTCTCGTTGCTGTAAAATTCCGCGCACGAAATGCGGCCGCGGTCGACAAGCTTCCGCCTCGCTCGTGACATGCCGGCGAGGACACATCTCGACGAGTTTAAAATCTATGCAACCTTTTTTTCATACGGTTTTTCTACTGCTACAGCTACTCACGTCGCGCATTTATCAAGGCGTGTTTTTTTTCCAATTCTGTCTCGAAGTTGTTATTGCTTAATAATTGATATTACGTGGTATCGTGAATAATCGGTGTTATATAATACGATGACGGTGTGTATTTGTAACGAACCGACTGGTAGGTGTGCATACTATTTTACATGCTAATTTTCAATGTCAGTTTGCAAAGTATTCAGCGCTACGTATTCCCTTTTATAAAATTGGCCATTTCGAGAAGATCAGTTCCGTTCGATTTCGTTTATTATCAATTTTCGGATACGACAATACCGCGGATCTTCCGTTTAACATCTCCGAGTGACAGGAAAAAGGAGACCGGATTTTGTTCGACTGAAATCGTGCTGAAACGTACAAGCGTAACTCGCAGTCAAGCGTGCCGAATGCGCGCAGGAGGACGCGAGCGGAACGGCATGGCAGGGTTAAGGGGATAGATAAAAATCCGATCCGACGAGCCGTAATGGACGGAGCTCGTTCGAGAGAGCGGTAAACGACGCGTTTTCCGGCGGTTGCTTCTTGTTTTCAACGGGCACTCCCGAACGAATTACGCGCCGGCGGATTCTCTCGTATAAGAAGTATACACACCCGGTTCTTCTTAATTACCGCCGTGCGTCGATTATTCCCGAGCTCAATTCCTCAATCCGTATCGGTGTAATTCACGTATACCCGGATAACGGTAACAGCCTCAACCTCAAAAGTAAACGGTTTCCCCTCGCGCCGTTCCAATTAAACTCCTTGAATTTGCTGCTTCCGCGGCAATCATAAGGCGATCGTAATCTCGCAATTAACGGACAACGGTCGTGTGAGTGTATCGAGTGTATATCGCGAGTCCGGGAGCCATGAAAAAGAAAACGGGAAAGTCAGAGAAATGAAAAATATGGTAAACGCGAAGATTTACGAGAAACCTTTGGATTTTCAAACGGACAGAAACGAAGAAGGCGTCGCTTAATTAGTGATATTTATTTATCGTTTAGCTAAATTTGTCGGCAAAATTTCGTTGAAGAAAAAAGAGCGACTTCGATTCCGAAGGCAGTTTGTAAAAGTCGTCTCGATAGAGACTCGAGGCGTTTCTCCGTTACTGCATCGGGCTTGAAGGAGTAACCTTCGCCTGGCTTCTCGCCTGTTCTAAGTGGCGCGACACATATAACGGTTGGTACACGGGGGAAACGGGACAGCTGTGCAGAAGTGTGTGCATGCTTGGGAGGTGTTTCTTTCGAAATACCGGCTGGTACGTGCGTCATTCTCTATGCCGGCCGGCGTTCTATGTTTCACTTTCGACTCTCGATGTACCGCTCCGGGAGTAGAACGGCTGGCTTAGCGGCGACGGCAGCGGCCTTGACTACGTCGTCGTTTTCGCGCCCCCTCTCTGGCGTTTTTTGTCCTTCGTACGGCGTAGACTCTTGAGAGGGCCTGCGCCACCTTCTTCGGGAGAGCCCGCTATTCCTAGAACCAACGCTGTACAATAATCATCTCGAAAGCTGCACCGGGCAGTAGCGATATAACGCGTTTATGCGCCGTCTTTGAAAAGAAAGACGCGAGAATCTTATAAAAAATGGTGACAGTTTAAATGTACAAAGTCCTTGATGACTTTATGTTATAATCTCAAAAGCTTACATCGAGTTAGACGAAAAAAATTGCCTTTAAAAACGTAGAAATGTATAATATATATAATTGATATGATCCTTCTATTCTTGTTTTCTATCATTTTTTATTTACTATTATATCTTAATATATTACGATAACTTAAGAGAAAAGGATATATTATTCAGTATCAAAATTTGTTCTCGTGTGTTATGTTAGCTACAAATATTAGTGAAATGAGAAGACAATTTTAATTTCTAATTTTCTAGTAAATTTCTCTCGTCCGAAAACAGATTGTGATGCATTATGTACTTTGTATCTCTTGTTGATTTACGTTGATCACACATCTCACCTGGTCAATTTGTTCGGAGAAAGCACTCGTAATCGCAGAAAGGAGGAAACGACGGCGACCCGTGCGGGCGTCTATATACGAACGGTACATACTCCGCGTGCAGTATTTACGCGGAAATCTATAGTCTTTCCTGGAAAAGTAACTATATCGGCTTATAGGTTCTCTGCCACCGGGTATTACCGTACCGTACCGTACAACGGCGATCTCGCTCGGCGCTCCGAAGTGAAACGGAGAGACGGCGAACGTATCATTTTATGCGGTTTCAGGAAAACGTAATTCCAGAAACGCCGCGCGTAACTCCAGCGTCGATTACCTTCTATGCTGTTATTCGGCGAGGGCTCTTAAGGAAATTACTTTGGGCCCGTTTTGCCACAATATACTTTGTCGCAAGATCTACCGTTGTATTATATCGCCGTTTAAAGGCGTTGCCGGTTCTCCGCTCCAAGATCGACGGATCGACGTTACAGATGCGCCGTGCCGCGCCACGCCGCGCGCCGTCTCTCTTCGTGGAACGCGGGAATGTCTAAAATTAATTGCTTCTACTGAAAAAGCGATTATCGAGAATCGAGGCGGGTATCCGTTATCCCCGAACACACGTGTTTTGCCGGAATATTCCTCCCGATTAATCGAGATAAAATCTGAAACTCTTTAATTCGCCGTCGCGAAAAGTGGATCGTGTTTGAACTGTTTGAAGTAGGGTAATAGTGAGTTCAATTTGAGCGATGTGCGGCGTCGCTCGTACAGATGTACGCGTATGTGCTATAACATAGCGAGACTATAGCCATGTGGTAATGTATATTTCAGATCCAGGAAACGACGGCCAAGCTCGAACAATGATTCCGAACGGACATACAGCGGTTGGGGCGAGAGGGTGCTCTGCGGACGTGAGGGTTGTCGCACCAACGAACGCGGTGATTGCATGGACGAATGCGCGGCCGCCTTGGTCCTTATGTCGCTCTCGTGCTCACCTCACAGTCCTCACAACCCCCCGCCACTTCACTGCCAATACAATTACGGTAACTACGACTACTGCGCTCATTTTTCTGACATTCGCATAAATAAGTACGATATAAGCTGTTGAGAGCAGGCGGAGAGTAAATTCTTTCCTTTATTCGCGAGTTTATTTGTTACTTCTGAATCGTAGTTTTCTTATTTCTAACAACAATTCCTTTTACAATCTAGTTTTAAAAAATACTAAAAAATAATAAAAATAAATATCGATAAATAATTCAATCGTGTGTTATTCCCTCGTATAATCGCGAAGCACCAAGCGATAATTAGCCGGGCCGAGATGTATTTAGAAGGTATTTTATCTGCGACAGGTTCTTGGGGGAGTCGTGGAGGCGGAGGCGGCGGCATGATCGCCGGCTCACCGGGAGTCGGCGGTATGTCAAATAGCAGTAGCAGCAGCGGGGCTTCCTGGCGAAGCGGCACTCCCAGTCCACCCCTCAGCGAGGAGGGCGTACCGACAAGGAGTTCCCCGTGTCCGGCGACCTCGCATCCCTCGCACAATCAGCCGCACTACCCCTACAACGCGTCCGGCTCGTCGTCGAGCAGCACCCCCGGCTCGACCACGTTGGACGAGGGAATAGTGCCCGACTATATCGAGGAACAGCACCCACGTAAGAAGGTGAGTAACTTTTTCCGATGTTCACTTTCTGCTCTTTATCGCTAGAACGTAGGGGGGCAACGATGCCGATAATCCGCATTGTACGTCGCACAACAAAGTTCGGTGAATGTGCTAATCGATTTCTGGGGTTGAGGAAACTTCTGGAATCTCCAGAAATCTGTCCTGCAACTTCCGCGGGCCCGTTTCCTCGTCTCACAGTCGATTAACGCGTCGCTTCGAGAAACTTATTTACCTTACGACCGCCGTAAAGCATTAATGACTTCCGCTGCCTCTTTATCAAACCGTGACCTTTGAAACTAGTTTTCAGAGTCGCGTGCTCGCGCTACTTCTAGCTAGAGCAACGAGCTGCCCTCGGCCCGCCGGTCTCTGAAAGTCTTCATTGACCTTAATCTTCGTGAATAATGTACGCTCTCGCATCAACGCACGCCCAATTCAGCTTGCCAAGTCTCTTAGACGAAGACAAATGATTTTTATGAAAATCAATTTTGCCAACCGTCGCGATCGTCGTTCGCGTTTCTGCGATGCGCGTCGAAGAATTTTCATCGCGCGATTCATTCAAACATTCCATTCGAACGGTCGATGAGTCGATTCAAGTTGAATATCATAAATTTAACGTCACGCTGATCAACTCGTCGGTTTCTTCTGCGTAACTGTGAGATTTGACGCGCATTGATAAAAACGTTTTTCACGCCTTTGCATTAGCGATATAAAGTATGACTTCCTTGAAGCTTACATTAAAATCACGTTCGAGCGACCTCCGCGATGAGAATACAAGTTCGCCGTGATAAAAGTCGGATGGCCTTCGAGAAGCCGCGTCTCCGTGATTAATTCTTTTCGTGTCCGCGTAGTACGTAGTAGCGTAGTAGCTTAATTAACGCCAACGCGTGCGTGCAAATATGATAAGTCTATTGCGTAAGTCATTGGGGCGTGGGGCACCAGGGTAAACCTTATACGTTGCTCGCGTACATATCGCTCGATCTGGATTAGATCCGATTCGTTTCCCGGGGTTTTCTCTTGTATTTCTTACGTGCAAAATTGAAAACCGATATCTGCAATTTCGGTTCGAGTTTAAAAACGATTTACAGATTCGATTTACAGACGAAGAGTATAATTTACCGCAATTATCGCATTATTGTGAACGGTACATAAATAGAGAATTTGTATCGGAGACTATTTCTATCAAAAATCAATGCTTAACAACATCACAAATTATATTGGTTTCAAATTCTGTTTATATCAAACGCAGATCTTTAAAATATTTGTTTGTTTTGTTTCTAATATTATTTTCGAAACTGGTTTGGCATCATTTGCAGGATAAGCACTTCATATGGATCTGAAACACAACAAAAGAATAACATTTTTGATTGATCGATACAATGGACGAACTCGACATATTTAATCGACATTGACGAATAACGGGCGCTGTTTTCGAGATGACGGCGAACTAGTTTTCTCTTTTCGAATGGACGAGCCAATGAAAACGAAGTCGCTTTCGATCGTTTCGTAACGTGAAACGGCCGATTTTCATGTAACCTACTGCAGAAGAGAACGAGCCAGAAAGAAAACGAGTAATTTGACGTCTTTGGAGATCATATCAATAACTTCCTTTTAAAGAGCCTTAATATGAATATCTGCGATTTTTAAAGATCATCAGTTCAAAATGGAATTTAATTTTGAATAGCATCTTTTTATTAAAAAATTTATGTAAGTTGTCATCGATATATTTTGCGATTAATTTTAATCACTGTTAAATTTCATAATTACTTTGAATATATATTTTTCTATATTGTTTCTTATTCTCAAAATTATATCCACTATTTTCCAAAATATCCGAATCTTCTCCGAATCTCACGGAATAGCCTATATTTAAGCCAAATGAGCTGATTTCAAACGAATGAAAATGCAGAGCATTTTTACACAAATGCTCTGCGAATAGAATGTTTGGCATTCTGCTGGAAATCGGTGCGAGAAAGTATATCGGTGCTTTTTCTATTGTCCGGTGGATTTAAACCGCGTCAGTTGTTGCGTATTGGCAGTGACGGCAACGTCCCTGACCGGTCAGAGATGCAAGCGAAAGAGGCCTGCAGAGGCGGCCGTAGTCATATCTTCGTCGTCGTCGTCGTCGTCGTCGCGCGTGCCAAGCCCGCGCGCAAAATGATGACATAAGCGCGCCGGCCGAGCCAAGGATGTAAACACGCGCGCGGCGATTTTTTGGTATTTCGTAAGACGGCTAACAAGCCGGACCTTGAAGTATTATCGCCCCGCGCTAATCTTAGGTACGCGGCGGCGGTCGCGGCGCACGCTTTTGCTGCTTTCGGCCGCTTGCACGGGAAATCGCGCGGCTCTTCGCGCGACGACGACGACGGCAAGGCGGATGGCGTTCCGCTCCCGAAATAGCCGCTAAGATGAGCGTGGCCCCTTAACTAACCGGCCGGATTGGCTAAAACCTGCCTCTCTTTATGGCTTTTTCAGATTCGAGCGAAAGTCAACCAGGACCCGATCGAGACGGAGCCAGGCGCTTGCGCGACTTTCGAAAGCGAACAGGTAAGCCCGATTTCCGTTCTCCGCGTAACCGGACACTCCGCTCGCTTAGAGATCTCGCAGGTGCGCGAAATTGCAGGCGGCGAAACTCCTTTTTAACCCTAGTAGTGTCGGATTATTTCCGCGCAAACACCGGCAGGAGGTGGGCGGGTGTCTACACTTTGCACGCGCGGTGTCAAGTCACATTTCTTGACTTTACAGTTCTTCAAATTTCAAATATCAAAAGTTTATATAAAAAAAATTGCTTTGAACGCAAAGTACACTTCCCACTTGTTAATAATTTTTCTGAAGGGGGTTAATTCCCCTTTGTTCGCATCTTACATATCATTTTCCTTTGGGGTTAAACTACTTTGAACATTTGTTTTAACATTAACGTCGAAAGCGCGGCGGAAAGCATCCCGCGATGCAATTTGCATTCGAGATGCTTATGTTGTTGCTACTATGCCCGTTATATCTGAAATCGTAACACCGAATAGAGATAAGTAATCTCGCATGCTCATCGCAACAACAGTTATTTTTTCCTCTAAATTATCTCGAAGTGTAGCAACCTATCGATATCTGGAGTGCGGGGAAATCTCCAGGTTGAAAAGGGAAGCGTCAGTGATCGACATCGTGCGCAAATCACGGGTGCGATTCACTGGAGAAGCCTCCGTTATCGAAAAGCGCAGAATCGCTGGCGAAGCAAGCGGTCTCCGCGTGCAAGCGCGACTCGAATCTACCACTATCATCACCACCACCACTACCACCACCACCGCCACCACCATCACTACCGCCACCACCTCCACCTTCTCTCCATCTCCAATCCACCTCCTCTCGGATCAATATTATTCGTAACCTAGTTTACACCGAAGGTTCCTACTTTCACCGGTGGTCGCGAACGGCGATCGTTTAAAGTCATTCATCTCGATTCAATCGTGCCGATGATGTCGTCAGACGAAAATATGCGCGTCATCTGCGATGCTGGACCGGGAATCGTTGCGCTTCGATCAGGCCCGCCGATCATTCACGAAGACTAATACGCACGGTTTCAACTTTCACTCGCGAATATCTGTACTTTGGTGTGACCAGATGTCCGTGGACGTGTCCTTTTTCTGAACATCGTCCTCGAACGTTCTCGTATCTTCTTTTTCTTACCTTTTCTCTTTGCCTTTTGTGCTTTTCGCTTCCTCTATATAGTTCCGAGTTTCAATGCATTATTAAGGAATCAGATGTGACGTTTTCGTCACCTTATTAAAATTTCAAAATCCCAAACGGAACAACCAATGTTTATTTCATTGATACATTCAACGAATAAAAAAAGTAACTTCGTGGAACAATCTTGACTTGATAAGAGAGATTGGAAATATACGTAGACGTTCCCCCCTCCCCCTTTTCGAAAAACTAGGAGGAACGTCCCAGTTTCTTCTACCCCATTGTCCCAGTCACACCCCGAGAGAAAGATGGCCACCCTACCTGCGATCTCGCTCGTATCGGCGCACCTGACCCAATTGACCGACTCGGTGATATCTCCGCGAACACGGCGACCCAAGGTCGTCGGCGTCGTTCCCTAGATTCTCTCGTCGCTTAGCGCTCGTCATCGCGAGAAAGGTCACTCGATCGAGATAGGAGAGAGAGATGATGCCATGCACCGTTCCCATATCGCGGCATCCATGAACGGCGATATCGATAGGCGGGGAAGGAAAAAGAGAGGGGGCAGAGAGAGAGGAAGAGAGAGAGAAGAAATAAAAAGGAGGGACGGTCAGGAAGTTCCAGCCGAGTGTAATGCATTGTGCAACGAGTGCGACAGAGTGCTACGCTTCCTCCTCGCTCCCTCCCCCTGGACGCCCGCTCCTCTACACGCGTGTTCGACGCGCGCGCGCGCACGCGTGCATTGCACATACGCGCATCCACGTGCGCAGTGCCGTAGTCGAGCGTATCGACGGGAGTGTATCGAGTGCATTTTATGCCGGTGGATATTTCCTTTGTCTCCGTCACGTGCCTGCGGCCGTAATGCCTCGATCGAACGTCACAGGCATGAGATCACGATCACTCGGCAAAAATCGCCGAAGAACGCGGACGGTTTTCCGGGAATTATTCGATAAACGAGCCAGCCAAAAGCGTCAGGGCGTATTTTTTTAAACGATAAATTTGTACGCTAATGAAAAAAAATTACATTACATTCCAGCGGAATTCGTGTTTTTCAATCGCTCCGCTTTACGGAGCAAAATTTCCTCGCCGGTTTTCCTTCGTGCGCGGAATTTTGTCATTTTCCGAGTAAACCTCTCAAAAGTGAAGATTGCAATTGACACGGATTAAACTCTATCGAAAGGTCGTGCACGCGCGTTGCGCGGCACGTGGACCTAGATCTTCGAACCACGTGGAAACTGGTTTCTTTTTTTCGATCAAATGTCGAAACCCAGCTTCCGTGATGGCTTAGGAAAACCTAAACCCATAAATATGTAGCTTAGATAGGTTGGTCCAGGCAGACATGTTTGTACAGTTTTATCGTATCTCATCGATGTCCCTTTTTTAAAATTCAGGTTGAATCGTCGCTGAAGTAAAAACGAATGAGAAGCGAAACGGTTTCCGTATATGATCCGTAGAAATGCATATGCCATACCGGCAATTACCCGAAATTACCTTCGCGGCCGCGCGCATATCGGATTCAGGCTGAACCCTTAAAAAGTGCGGATTGTGGCCGACGTGAGCCAAATTCTATTAAAATGCGGCGCGCACGCGCCGGAATATCCTCGTCCGTCGGCATACGCCTGCACATGGATATCTCTATCTCGGAGCGGTAACACGCGCGAGGACCCGGCCCCGGCGGCGCCGTTGGTGCATCGCGTCGCAGTGCACACCACGTGACGTCACCACGAGCGGCACGTGCCCCTACCCCTGCCCGCGCCCCCCGGTGCCCTCGAATGCAGCATCGCACGGTGGCGGCGAGGGGATGGGGCGCGGCAGGACGGGGGGCCAACAACGAGAGGGGGCGGTAGAGGTGCGGAGGAAGGTAGTTAAGGTCACCGTGGCCCTGACTGCACGCGCGCGAAATAATATCGGTGTGCTACCGTATGTGTGGCTTTCTGTGTATGTGTGTGGGTATGTGTGAGGCATACGTGTGGCGTGCGTGTGCACGGGTGTGTCCGTGTGTGTGTGTGTGTAGTGAGTTGTATGCAGCGCGCGCGGAGAACGCACGGAAGATTTATTTCTAGTTCCGCGTGCTGCCGCTTTTCTAACCAAGGTTTCGCCGGTTAGATGCACGAGTCGCGCACGAGTGTCCCAATGACGGACCTTGACCGTCCGCGTCGGCTCCGATGTTCGGACGGTCGTCATACCGTCTGGTGATCGCCGCGGATCTTCCTAGCGATTATACTGCGACGAACTTTTCCGATTATCGCTCGCAGCTCGCAGTACGTAGCAACGACTACCGGTCGCTCGACACTATATGATGACACGCGACGTATCTTTTCGTGACGATGCCATTAGTTCAGCTCCAAAATGAGTCCCTTGTAGAATTTAAAGGAGGAAACTCGGTAATGCTAGCTTTTGATCGAAGGACTCGGATGTGAAGCAGCGAGCTCGTAAATTCGCCTACGAATATTACGGATGAAGTCAAAGATGTTTAAAAATTTTATCGAATGTTTAACTTTTTATTTTGCCAAAGATGCGATGAACAAAAGTATTATTTTTACTGCTTTATGGCTCTGGCGACAATATAGTTTTATTGTCCGGATAGAAAGCAAGCAGATCCCTTCCTCTCTTGCGGTCGAAATTGAAAGAAAGAAAAGAAAAATCTTCGGGAAAGCCTTCTTTTCTTAAGAGGATTTCGTCCTTCTGTTCCTCTTGCCTTTTTAGATTTTTTTTTTGCTCACTGTTTTACCTCGACTAAGAAAGAGATTTTTGTTTCGACCGTAAGTACACATTCTTCATTGGATACAAAAAGAGTTTTATACAAAACGTTCGAGTTTTATACACGTTCACTCAAAGAAACGGATTTACGTGAATCTTGCTTTTATCTCGAATTGCGACTACAAGATCTAAAAACAGTTTTGCACCTTTTTTCGCCTCATGTTACCGTTTATATCGTTTCGACGTTTTCTATCTCGACTCCGTTCCGCCATATTCGTTAGATTCCATCCATATAGAATAAATCATTCATATCGCGTAACACGCTTTCCGCGTTATCTCCCGGCGGATCATGCAAATTGCGTGCTCGCGGGGCGAGAAAGAATATTCTGTGACGCATGCGATTTGAACTTGAAAAAGCGCCCATGTCATATATCGAACTATCGAAACACGTCGGAGACCGCCCGCCCGCGCCGATGCCGGTCGTGCCGGCATTTGCGTGCGTGCTCCCGCGAGTTCTCGGCCGCCGGGTCGTATTCTGACACGTCCACCTTACGTAATACGCGTTGCGTAAACTTGACGTTAGCCGTAATGCTCGCCATACATATTTCCGCGCGCCCGGCAACAACCGCGGCTCGGGACTCCGGGAGGGATCTCCGGCCTTACCGAGCGACGTAATCGTACCCTCCCGTATCGCTTCCGCGCTCTCGCTCCGATCCTCAGAAGCTCGCCGTAATAAACGAATAGACGAGTTAATCCCAATTAGCTTAGTTTCCTGCTGCCGCGATAATTAAATTTTACTTTTTTTCCCCCCCAAACGATAGTGTATTTCGCAAAAGCAATTTTACAATGCGGAAGAGTTACGCGCCGGCGACAAGTTTGCAAGAACAATAAAAATCCATCGACAATCGTTTCGGAGCTGTTGACAGTGCCGGTAAAATAATTCGTATAGAGAGTTGTGGAGAGAGAAAAATGAAATTGATTAGAAATATCCGCGTGTCTCTCGCGAGTTAGAAATATAAATCCTCCGTGCACGTTCATGTTGCACAGATTGCAGATATTATCTGCCGCGCGTGCAGAGTCAGGGCCATTGCCTGGCAATATGATTTCTGATTATATCATTTCTGATAATATCTCACCGCGTATGGGACACTTCCTGATAAAAATTGAGAGAACGT